GCTCCGGGGGACCCGCTTCCAGCTGCTCGGCTGGGCTTCCTTTCCGAGCACAGATAACCCCATCCTGCCGCCCGCTTCCTGCCTTTGCTCATTAGCCATGACTTCCTACGCCAGGAGTTTCTTTTGATCCCACCTGCTGCGGCTCCTGACATTCTCTGTGGGCGCTGCACAGAGCGCTCACGACCAGGGCGTGGCAAGGACGAGACCTGGCAAGGAGCCTTGGATGGTGGTTCTTGGCTGGGAGCTGACTCGGGGCGCACACTGTTGGGGCTGACATACTGCTAATAATTTGCATGGGCTGGTGGGGAGGAAAGAGCTCCTTTTGAAAAACCTCTCACCCCTAGTCAAGGCTGCCTCCGCCATTTGCAGATGCGGGGGCGGGGACCGGCCTCAGGTTGGGCGCAGAGCCTTTCCACCCTGTGTTTGCAAAGCCCACATCATTCTTCTTTCCTTTTCCCTTTCAAAGACAAGCACCACAGCGCGCTTCAGTGCGCCTTAGGACCCCAGGGTGCCCCGGGAGCCGGGGCCCCTCCGAGCCGGGGAGCCGCCGGCGCTGCCCGTGCGCCACACGGGCTCGGCCTGCCGTCCCTGCCCTCGGCGGCGGAGAAAGACGAAACCAGCGTGGTCTGGTGTGCGTACTTGCCAAATTGTTTATTTGCCATTCACTAGTCATAATATCGGATTTACAGAAGATACTGGGGTACAGAGAAAGGAAGGCTACGATGGGTCCCGGGCAGCGGCGCGCCGGACTCCCCGCACCCTGGGCACCACGAACATCCCTGGCGGAGGGAAGCGGCCCTCGGACCGCACAGAGAACTATGTCCCTTGCGCTATCTAGAAATACCTCGGAGAGGGGGCTTTCGGGGCATCCTCTCCTATCATCTCTGGTTTAAAATGCGAGACCCATAGTTCCCTTGCGGGACGGGTACGGGGGTGGGGGGCAGAGAAACCGCTCACGTGTCCGGGGTGCGCTGTGGACAGAGTCGGTCTCCGCCACGCGGGTGGCCGGCCACGGGGCAGGGCCTAGCCAAGTAGGGCTGCATTTGCCATAGCTACTTTTTCAATAGATGTGGTCTACTGCCATTTCAATGTGAAAGTTTATTTTTTCCATTGATTTTTATACATCCAGAATAGCACAAATGACCAACAGGATTTTTTGTTTTTTTTGTTTTTTTTGTTTTTGCATTCATTTCCCCTAAAACAAAAAGTGAATTAAAAAAAATTGGAATCATGCTATTAGCTCTTTACAAAAGTGAATAAAAAGTAGCTCATTTTAAAGTCTAAAATAAACAAAGTAGAAAGAAGCATTTTTGTCTACAGTACTGAGCAAACGTAAGAAAAAGTCCTTGGAAACACAAATAATTGAAAAAAGTTATTACAGGTATTAACAATATTTTATAATGAAGCTTAAAATCTATTTACACACATAAATACAATTAACTTTGTTGATGCAACTCTTCTGGAAGGAAAAGAAAAAGCCAAATGATCAGCCTCATCAACACTGACCTGGCTAAGGGGAGAGGAAAACCTCCAGACAGACAGACAGACAGACAAAAACCCCCAAACAGTTGTATACTGTAGGTAAACAAAAAGGCATTTTGTTCAGATGTAAAAAATGTTTTCTGGGATTATTGTTAAACTGACTTTTGATGTGTAAAAGACCCTAAACACATCATCCCCCAACCCCCTAAAAAAAAACCAAAAAAAAAACCCAAACAAACCATCAAAACCGAAAATCTCCAGGACAGAATGTCCCAAGGAAACAGGTATTTCAAGACAGAAATCTGCAACCTGAAATTGCAGGACATTTGAGTAAAACCATCCATTTCCTTCCTCACCAGCGCCTTTGTTTATCTGCACAGAAACCCCGACCACGGCAAGGCTGTGAACTCCCTGCCTGGCACTTGCGCAGGAAGGGATAGCAAGCAGATCCAGAGTGGCTGGCAAGGCCTCCGCGCTGCTGTGGAAGAAACCCACCCGCAGGGAAAGCTGGCTCCCCACACTCCTCAGTGGGAGGGGGAGCCGCTCCTCCGGCTCCAGGCAGGCGGGGTGTGTGTGGAGGGGGGTGCCGTCTCCTTACACAGAGGGGCAGGAGACGGGACGGGGCAGCGCGGGAGAGCAATGTGTAAGTATTGTCAGATAGCGAGAAAAAGGAAAAACTGAGATGAAGTATGTCCTTGTTCTAATTATAGGTAAGGCCTGACTAAGCAGTGGGGGTGGCCTAGTTTTCGTTTTGTGGGGCCAGCACTCCCAGATCGGCTGGTTTTCACTTTATTGGCTGAAGGCTCTCCCCCATCAGAGGACCCTGTGAATTTACCTGAAGGCAATGAATGTAGCTCCTCAAGGGAAAATGCAGGAGGTGTGAGACCTGTCTCCAAAACAACTCAACTTGGACTATTTTCTGGAACAATTAAATACCATCTATGCTGGTAGGGCCTGTGGAACGCTGACTGGCCAAGCCAGTCAGAGTTTGGTGGGTCTGCGGCAAAGCGACAAGCCGTCCTCACACATGGCTTTGAGAGTGAGGATTCAACGTGAAAGATTATCTGATTCCCTTGCAGGGCACTGGGCTGATTTTGAGTTGGAGTATCTTCAGGTACTAGAATGGAACTGAAAACAGTTTTTCCTTCATTCCCACCCCCTCCCACAACATTTTGTCAGGTCAGATGTGGCAGCATGGGCTGAACAGAATATTTAAACTGAATTTGGGGAAAATGGGCTAAGGGCTCTTTTCAGAAGTGAAAGTTTTTAAGTTTATTGACATTTACAGATAATTTTGTTGTAAAAAACATAATCCAGAATAAAACATGGGATAGAATTGTGGAGGGATAACTATGTCTAAAGTGAAAATGAATATATTCTGCATTTCTCCAAGGTCTGCTTTAGCTCTTTCCTAGAAAATAACGACCTGACAACATAAACTGCCTCACTCTTAACTCTCACCAAAGTGCTACTGCGTCTGCGTAAAACAAATAACCGCTATATACAGGAGCGGGCCAAGGTGGGCTTGCAGGTGTCTGTATGGAAACCAATACAATAATTAATAAATAAGAATACAAGAATAAACTCTAAGCTTCACGTACTCACAACTGCAAATCTACCTTGCCTGCCCCCGGATATATAAGAAAACTCAAAAACAAGTTGTTTTAAATAAGTTCAGCTGTTTTGCTGCCTGCAGCCAAAGATCTTTCTAATTTGAATCCTTAAATTTATAAAATAAAAATCAAACACTGTTCTAAAGTCCTGCTTTCAAATACTCTTCAGAGTTGACCTGAAATCATTTCAACTAATTTAAGAGGTACATTAAATAACCACCAGGTCATTTTGAGCACGCACATGTCAAAATCAGCAGTTAGGATTTATGAGTTGTACAACAACTGCATTCTGACCAAATCCTCCAATAAAAATAGTGCCATAAAATTTACAGTGACACCGGATATGTCTGACTCGTAGCCATGGGAGCAGTGGTGACAGGTATCCTTCCCATCAGGCCAATGCGCAGGTCAAAGTGCAACCCTAGCCCCCCAGGGGGACCTCAGCCTGGTGAAAGCAACGCAGAGGTGGCGGCTGTCCAGCAGCAGGGTATAGGGTCCTGCACGGGCAGGGCTGAGGCTGTCGCTCATGACTCAGGGGCAGAGGGACTAGCCTGCCCAGCCTGCGGCTGGACCTACCCTGCGAAAACTCGGCGGGAGACCTTCCACGGCCAAGGCACCCAGTCTAGGCCCTTCCCTTCCGCGTAAACAAACAGGCGCTGCATCAGAGAGTATTTTCTTGGAGCTAAAAAATGGAACTCTGGATTCAGACCATCTCCTTCCTACCCCAGAACCCAGCGTTTAAGGAACCCCTAACTTCCTTCATTTGGTTCCCGGGTGGATACTCCTCCTCCACGGTTGACTTTGGATTTGTTCTCTGACAAAGCCCGTCTGAAATTACCAAGAGGCCAGGGAGAGAGCAAACCCATAGGCGCAAAGTGAATCCTTTCCCGAGAGGCCATCGCTGGCATCAGCGGACGGTCAGGAACCAGAGAAGAAGGGAGGGAGCCGGAGAGCAGACCCCTTGTTGAGCGTGATGGAAAACTCCGCACTGCAGATCTTTGGAGTGACCCTCAGTAGCTAAGATGCCTGCTAAACACATTGCTGCTTCAGCTACCACCTCGTTTGATGAACTTTAAAGGAAGTTTAATGTAAACAATATTTAGATTACCAAGTGATCACATTACCCATCCTTTTTTCCCAGCCTTTTTCAATGTGATACGTTTAACTTTGGCTACTATCAAAAACAAAAAATGGAGTACTTGATATTTTTTCTCAATATAAGTACATTTAAATAATAAAAAAAGTATCAACACATAAGTAAGTGTCTAAACATCGAGATAACATAAATATCTAGGGATTTCTTGTGGGAATACAGCAGTTGAAAATGACCCAAAGCTGTAGCTGTTTTTCCTTAAAAAGAAAAACAGCTACACAAAAGTCCAAAAGAAAAGTTAAATAACACAAGAAAAGGAATCATATTTCTTTCAACTGTCATAGCAAGAAAGAAGCAAGCTCAAATTTATATATATATAAAAATAAAAACCACCCCAAATGCAAATACGCATTTTGCAATTTATAAGGTGCTGGAAAGGAACATTAAAAATATGAATTCGATGCCAAACAGGATGAGTTGCATCTCCCCCCCCCCCAAACAAAATTCACTCTTTGGAATAAACAACTTGGTTAAAAAGTGATGTCAGGGTATAAAATCTTTCTTTTATTCACAGCATTGCTAAATCAGAAGCGTTCACAGTTTCCCTCTGCAATCTTCCTGTTCGCCTGCAGCGCGGCCACGTGCCGGGACTGGACGCCCTCTGCGGACCCGACAGACGGACGCTCGGACGGTCGGTCGGACGGAGGGACGGGCGGAGGGCGGGCCTGGAGGCGCACGCAGCTCGGCGGCCCGCGACGCGGCGGGTCCCGCGGCGCCCGGCCCCGCGCGCTGGCCGGCGGCCCGGCGGGCGCTCAGTAGGGCCGCCACACGGCCTCCTCCAGGCGTGCGGCGGGCGCCATGTTGGTGGGCGAGTTGCTGTGGCTGCCCTCGGCCTCCACCACGTCGCTCTGGGTGGGCAGGCTGGGGTTGAGCAGCGCCGAGCCCGTGGAGGCGTTGGTGCAGGGCGGCAGGATGCGCGGGGGCGAGCGCTCGCCGCCCACCATGGAGAACTGGTAGGAGCCGGCCGAGGCGCCGTAGTACAGGTGGTAGGAGGGCGAGCTGGCCTGGAAGGGGCCGCCCTGCGCCTGCGACGAGCCGGGGTAGGGCGGCGGCAGGTACGTGTGGTAGCGCGTGGCCGAGCTCATGGCTGACATGCCGATGCCGATGCCCGAGGTGACGGGCGTCGGGGAGTAGGTGAAGGCGCCGGGGTAGTGCATCCGGGGGTCCGGCAGCGCCGGGAACTGGCGCGGGTCGCCGAAGGCCGTCAGGTCAGGAGCCGCTGCGGGGCAGGAAAACACGTGAGATGGGCGTCCTGGGAGGCCTGGGCCCCCCTCTGCCGGCCCGCCCCCAGGGCCAGCGCCCTGGACGCCGCTGCCCAGGGGGATGGTAGGGAACCCGGGACGCTGCTGCCCGGGGAAGCTGATGGAGGATTACCCAGAATGCTGCTGCCTGGGCAGACGGACAGTTACCCAGAATGCTGCTGCCTGGGCAGATGGACAGTTACCCAGAATGCTGCTGCCTGGGCAGATGGACAGTTACCCAGAATGCTGCTGCCTGGGCAGATGGACAGTTACCCAGAATGCTGCTGCCTGGGCAGATGGACAGTTACCCAGAATGCTGCTGTCCAGGAATCTAAAAGATTACCCAGAATGCTGCTGCCTGGGAAGATGGAAGATTACCCAGAATGGTGCTGTCCAGGGAGACTGTATGATAATACACAGCAGGAGAAGATAATGTGTGGTATCAAGTAATGTGATACGGTGTAGCACAGTGTGATAATACAGCTATAACATAGGTGTAATACATGCGGCCAGAACATAGAACGCGTGCAGCACAGATCTAATGTCGCCGTGACCCTGGGCTTGGCCAGCTGCAGCGCGCGGTCCAATCTGGCCGCGCCACTTCTCCTGCGCCTCAGGAGCCAGGGCCGCGTGTTACTTTTTTAAATGGTTGGGAAAAAGGCGACGAAGTGTACTTCCTGACACGAAAGGTATCTGAGATTTGAATTTCAGGGTCCGCCTGTAAGGTTTATTGGCGCCAGCCTCACGCGTTCCTTTCTGTGTCGCCTCTGGCTGCTTCTGAGGCACCTCTGCGTGGCCGAGTGGCCGAGTGGCCGTGACACAGGCCCTAGGGCCCTGGGACACTGAAATAGTTAGTTTCGGGCTCTTGACAGGAAAAAGTTGGCCAACCCTCTAGATAGTCAGTATATTAATGCACCAATATTAATATAAACTTACTCTCTGATAGTAACATAACAATATATAATTGAAAACAACATAACGCTATATAATAATGACCAATGTGATGGATGCATTAATAAACTCATTATTACCAGAATATGTCACGCACAAAATGATACTGTGTCTTAACAGTACTAACATGTAACATTACAATACCTTCTATATAATATTTAGGTTGAATCGCAGGAAAACGCCCATTTGTTAGGCCTCAAACAGTTTGCAATGGTGGACTTCCTGGGAGCCAGCCTGCGCCCACCACAGCAGGGGCTGCGTGCACCCCGCCCACGCCACTGTTCCCCCCACGTCTGCCTCCCCCCAGGGCCGCATTTTTAGAAACAGTGCAGCCTCGATTTCGCGCAGTGCTCTCCATGGGCGCTTCGCTGGTTGGTCACCACGAGTGAAGGAAGTTTATCTTCTCCCTTTTTGCTCTTGTTGACGTTTTACTGGGAACGGCAAAGCTGCTGCGTCTGCAGCAGAATGTCTACTGAACTCATCTGGGGAGAGTCAGGCCTGTACAGGGTCCCGGACGGGCGGCCCTCTGCATTTTCCTAGCCACAGGCCGCCCTTGGCAGCTAAGGGCGTCTGGGCGCAGGAGGGGCTCCCTGGGCCCTGCAGATCGGAGTTCCTCGGAAGTGGCCCTGCTGACCGCTCCTGGCGCAAGCGGACAGCTGCGCGTTGGGGTGCGGAAGGTACCCTGTGCATCGCAGGGGGCCTGGCAGCGTCCTTGGCCTCTGCCTCCCACACGCCAGCCGTGTTTCCACTCCTGGAATTGTCATGCCCAGCATCGCCTCCAGACATTGCCAAATGCCCCGGGTGGCGCGGGGACAGGGGGCAACTCCCCACGCCCCTTTGAGAACCACCGCTGTAGACACGGGACGGGGTTCTGGGGTAGCTTCTCAGAATTATTCATGAAATGGCCCAAACAGGACTATGGTCTTTGTGTTAGCAAACCCAAAAGGCAGCAACAAAACGGAGCAGAAGCGAGAATTAAGTGCCGTAAGGTCTGCCAGTTCTCCAATCAGCGTACAAAACAGCTCTGAGCGCAGGATGGCAGGGGGCCCGCGACCTCTTGCGTCCAGGCCCACCGAGAAGCCGCGAGAGGCCAAAGCTTGCTGTGAGGGGACAGCTACCAGGGTGGACGAGTCTGCTGCAGGGAGGCACGGCCCTTGATCAACTTCCTCATATTTCAAGCCTATTATTCCAGCAGGCAGAGAGAGTGAGTGTTTCTCTCTCTCTCTCTCTCTCTCTCTCTCTCTCTCTCTCTCTCCTCTCCCCTCTCCCTCCTCTCCTGTCTACTGGTGTTTTATTGCTCTACCACATTTCTAAAAAATGACCTCCTCTGTAAATTTGGGGTGAACGTGATGAGGGGATATAGCTCTCATCAGAGAGGTAATTAAAGTTTATAGAAACAACCGAAGTCTGCAGCAAATCTCTGCCCTAATGAGGAAACCAGGAGTCTGACTTGCACACAAACAGCCCTGTTAATCTTTTCGAAGCGAGCCGGGCTGGTGGGCAGGCGAGCAGCCGCACTGCCAGCGCTCCTGGGCCTGCCCTTCCACGGCCACTCTCTAGTTTGTCCCGAAGCCAGGCCGCGCCTCATTCCTCAGGGTTTGTCCCTGCCCGCTCGCTGGGGCCGTCTGTGAGCAAGCTGTGTGTCACTTGTTTTTGCTCACACGGAGCTGTGACATGTTTGAGAGTTAACAGGAAGCTTTACTCCATTTTTCCAGTAAGATTTATAGAGTCTAGGGAGAAGCTGAGGTAGGAGGAAAAGCATTAGGCAAATACAATCAATTTGTTTTCATCTGACGCAATCCTCTGGACACAAGTACGTGACTCCGCCCACTCCTCTTGCTTCATTTGCCCTGAGACAAAAAGGTGAATCCACTGGAAAATGAATGAAAGGTCGCCCTGTTTCCCAGCAATGTCTGGACGAGCTCCGTCAGTCTGTCCTGACTACCGCGTGGTGGCCTGGTGATGGCGCCCAGTCCCCGGAACCCTGAGCGAGCCCCCGGATGATGCTGTGGTCTCAGCTGTCAGGGGACCAGCAGTTTTCACTCGTGGGCAGAATATCTGAAAGATCTCAAATACTGTCCATGATTCTCCCTCTGTCTATATAACAACAGTGTTGTTCTACAAAAGACCATTCACATGGTCAAATTACCCTTTTTGCACACACGTTAAAAACAAAACAATTTCGGCCCTTTAGATATGCTCAGATTCAAACCATCTATTCCAATATTTGTTTTCATTTTTATGTCCAGTCTGATACCCCCTGCCACATGTCACCAGTTACACACCTGGGACAGCTCAGCTCACTTGCCCCTTCGCTGGCCTGGTGCCCCCCGTATTCAATAGCAGCGTGGGCGGAGGGGGCAGACCCCGATGTGTGCAGGGAGCTTTTAAAGAGGAGGAAATCTGGGGGTTAGGGGGTTCAGGTGTTTCAGTTGGAAATGTTTCCCCACTGATGGGGCTTAATATTTGCCATGACAGCTCCAGCCTCCCTTCTGCAGTTTGACGCGGAGGAAAGCAGCTCCACTCTGGGCCCCTCCCACTGCCCCCAAAGGATTAAACAGCCGGAGAGATAATGGCTGCCTTAAAAGGACCTTTTGCATGACTCAGAATAATGCACGCTGTCTGTCGCCCAGGTTGGCAGCTAAACATTAATTTCTTTTAAAAAAAGAAGGAAAAAAAAAAGGAAGCAAAGAAAACGTCCAGATGACAACTCTTTTCAGACTAGGTGTGGAGTCTGTCTGCAAAGAAACGAGACAGACAGACAGTGCCGGGGCCCCGCGCGGAAGGCGGCCCAGGCGGGGTGGAAGGGGCCGGCAGGCCCGGAGGGGTGGCGCGTGCTGGGTTCTCAAAGCCGGGGGGCTTATGGGTCCCAGCCCCGTCCTGCTCACTGCAGGGCACCACACCTCTCAGGCCTGCGCTGCAGGCTCGGTGTCGCAGAGGGAGGTCTGCTGAGTTGAAGGGCATCTCCCAGACGGCTCCCTGCCATTCTCTCTGGTCCTCCCCCCACGACAGCGGAGGATCACGCGAGGGTGCAGAAATGGGACCTGGTTTGTGTCCACTTCACACCCTCATGCCACAAAACGGCCTTCCTCGCTGCTCGGACACCTGCAGTCAGGCTGTGCAGCAGGGTGACTGCGATGCGGGACTTGGGGGGCTCGTTCCCTCACCCTCGCGTTTGAGCGCCGGCCGGCGGGAGCGCTCGGCCCCTAGGGCTCCCGGACCACAAGGCGCGGCTTGGGAGCCGACCGGGTCAGGAGACTCGCGTAATGAATTCTGAGGGACAGACCCGCAACAGGGACATTTCCAAGGACAACAGGAATTGTCCCAGAGGCAGACCACAGCCAGCCAGCGGGCTCAAGCAGTGCCCCTGGGAAGAATCAATACAAGCTGACAAGTGCCTTTGGAGTCAAACTGATCCTGAGGGAGCAGAACTTCTAAAACAACAAGCTGGAGAGATGTCCTCATTGCTGTGCTTCCTCAGCGCCGTAGCCCTGCAGGTACCATGAGAACGTTGGCACTAATGGCCAAAAATAATGCGAAAACCGGGCATCTGAGTGGACTTTCCTATTTCCCTACAGCATCCAAGAATACTTGAAGGCCGTGGTTCTCAACTGGGGACAGCTGGGGCCCTCGGGACATGTGGCAATGCCTGGAGACACTTTTTTCTTGTCACGATGGAGGGGCAGGTGCTCCTGGAAGCTGGAGGCCAGAGAGGTGGCCAAATACCCTGCGCCGCACAGGACAGCACGCCCCCACCCCAAACGCCCGCGGCACTGCTGCGGAGAAGCTCCCAGGAGGGGCTAAGCATCTGGCGGAGTCCCAGGGGGCCACGACCGCCGGGCCAGCACAGCGTTATACGACGTTTAAAATGCCAGACACGACGCCTGTGCCCCCTAATCTGCTATAATCTGATCCCCAGGATAGAAAAGCAAAAACGGCCGCCCTGCCCCGACACGTGAAGTGTGTCTGCGGCTTCAGGACGCGGGAGTCCCCGGCCGTGCTCCCCCTTTGGTCCGGCTCCAATTTCAAAGCCCCAAATGGAGAGTTTCTTCTTTTGCTTTCAACAAAGGAATTTTTCCCTGTAACTCCGACTTCCCTGCCCATGAGCGCAGGTGAGTGCCAAGCCCAGAGGTCTCCTAGGTTAAATGACTAATGTTTAATGAGCTCGTACTAACAAGAGTTGTGCTAACCACGACACCTGAGCCTTCCACGCTGCTCCTCGGACCTGCTAGGAGCAGCAACTAGTTGGAGATGTCTCACTTGGGGTGTGTTGGCTTCCCCACTGCACAGGGACCCCAGGGTGCCGCTCACATGGCCCATGAAAGCTCGCCCACACCAGGTGGACCAGTCCCATCCGAGTTCTAGAAGTGGACGTCCTTGGCCTTTTATTATTAGCCCTTCAGCTGCCACCTTTGCTTGCAAAACATGAGCCACCCCAAAGTGCCCAAGAAGTGCACATCTCCAAGCCACTTCTGCATCTGGACCCACGGCCTCTGCCTCTAGTGTCAAGGGAAGCGGGCGCACAGCGGTGGGATGTCGAGCTAGACAACCTCGTCTTGAAACCACACTTCATTCATTAAAGCTACTACCCACCCCCATGCCTCTCTAGTCTCTCGAACCTCCACTCTAGCTCAACTTCACAGCGCGTTTCCAAGCAGCTTACTTGAGAGTCGACTGGAAATCTCCGCCGAGAGGGCCGTCATGCCGCTGGCCCGGCCGGGCGAGATGGGCGTTGCCGGGTGCACGGAGGGAGAGCTGATGGAGCCCAGGTACTGGTAGGACTGATCGTAGGACCACGGCGGGGAAGGCTGGATCTGCCTGGTATCTGCGGAGAGTCAGGGAGATGGGTCACTTGTAAAGTGGGGAAGGGCGTAGGAATAAATAAAGCCTTTTAACAAGAAACGAGTCCCTGGAGTGTCAGTACGTCTCCACAGCTGTGTGCCCGGTTTACCAGTGTCTGATAAGCCTGCCGGAGCCCAGGCGTTTGCTTTTGCTTGGTGGTCTCTCCCCCGGAAGCTACTGAAATAGAGTTTATGTTTGGTTCTTGAAGATTTCCCTCTGATAACTGTTCCTCCCAAAGGTTTTATTTAATCATGTGCCTCATGACAAGCGGAGCTGAGGGTGCCTTCCCGGGGCAGCGTCCCTGTTCAGACCGCTGACCTCCAGCGCGCATTGGCCACCAGGCCCGCTCCACGTTGCCTGTGATCGCCATCAGGAATGGCTGTGAACCCGGTGACCACCTGCCTGTCTATGCTCAGGAAGCAAAAAAGAATGCAGGTTTTATTTTTGTACTTTATGCAAAACTATTCTGCAGGGTTTTCATTGTTTTCTACTCAGGTGGACTTTCTGCCGAGGAGGACGGAACAGAGGGACTGGCTGGGGGCTGGCGGTGCGGCTGCCGCGGGGCCCACATGCCCGGCCGCAGGGAGCCGGCTCCCGGGCCCAGGCAGGCAGCGGTGTCCTGCGTCTTGTCACGGGCAGAATGTTGAGCAGGTATTTTCCAGACTGCCATTAAAAGGGGCCCAGGGTGGAGAAGAGACAAAAGGAATCAGACTTCAGAAGACTGAGGTAAAAAGGATTTTGTAAATTTGACTCCAGCCTTCATGGGAGTCTGTTTTCAAAAGCATCATGCTGTTTGCCGATGAAAAGGAAGAGGGGAAAAAACCCCCTCTATTTTTAGGCAAAATATGTAAGGAAATTTAGATTGAACGCTGTCCCACCACAAGATTGCTTTACACCTCTTTAGGGGTAAATGTTAATTTTCTCTGTGTCCCCCACCTTCTTTGTGGACAATTGCGCGCTGGAGGTCAGCGGTCTGAACGGTCAGCAGACTAGCCTAACCCCCCCGGGTTCTCTCAGCTGGGAATAAATGTGGAAAAAGCCCCGTTCCCAGGGAAATACCAGGTGTAAGTTTTGGATGTGCCGTGACATAAAAATGAGTTATTCCCACTGGTGATAAAATACTCCGCTCTGTTCCACCAGGGGCTGACCATTCCTGAAAAGGGCTGGCCTTCGCTGCTGACCGCTTCTAGGTCTCATCGTCCACAGTGGAGTCAGGCGCTGGGAGACCCAAGGCTTCCTTCTCACCCCTCCCCCGACAACCCCTCTCCCTTCCCCTCAGGCGATCTATGTCTTTCTTTCCTTTAAAACCACTGGATTTCTAAGCGTGACAGACCTGGGCAGATATTTCCACGTGGACTCTTTGAAATCTAATTTTCAAGAAAGGTTTTTATTTGATTCTGAATTTCAGAGAATCTGAGGAGCTGGCAAAGAATAAGAGCGGGTCCATTTCAAATGCCACGGAAAACACACGCTCAACTACAGTCAGGGATGTTGCACAGTCTCCCAGCTAACAGCGTTCCCGGCCATCGAAAGCAAACAGTTAATAGCAGATTGCTCAAGACTCCCCTATGACTGCAAGTATTTTGCTTCAAGTGAAAAAAGAAGGTATATGCAGAGACTTTCTGTAAGACATGATCCGTCCTCGCTGCGCATGTCTGCTGAGTGGCTCTGTAGTACTCAGGTACTTGAATCGTTTAGAAGGCAAACAAAAGCAGCCTCACAGTGGTCGTACAGCCCCTCGGGCTGAAAGCCGCCGCGCGGCTGCGGCCCGCGGAGACGGCCCCGCGCCCGACCCAAGTCTGAGGCCGCCGCGGCGAGCAGGAGGCGGTATCCCGTGATTCATGCTCTGTCATGTTTTACTGCAGCGAAAAAGTTGTGCTAGGCTTTTCTAAACGCATAATTAAGCCATGCAAACGTTGCATAATGTTTCACAGCCTTTTAAAAATATGCTTTGGTAAAATGATCTTTATGATTAAAGTCTAAGTTCTCCTTTTTTTTTAACACAGGGTTTTAGATTCAACACCCTCTCACTTCACACCACAGCCCGGCTTCCCGGTGCTGGCAGGGAGAGAGCACTAAATCCCCGAAGGACTCCGCCGCCCCCTGTACGCGCTCCATTTTCCCTCCCGGGGCCCTGGCGGGCGGCGGGCGGCGCGCGGGGTCCCCTGCCAGCGGCGGGCCAGGGGGTGGGGATGGCGAGCTCTTCCTGTTGCGTTTTTGGGTGTTTTCTCCTTCTTCATGTATTGTCAATAAAAAAACAAAAGCCAAACTGAAAACAGAAAAACGAAGAGCCCGTAGCGACGGCATGTGCCGACTTTGAAATGCAGGGGCCGCTCGGGCCTGGTGAGCGCACGCGCACGCGCAAGCGAGCCACGCCAGGGCCGGGGGGGCGGGGGGGGCGCGTGCAGGAGGCGGGCGGGGGCGTGCCTGTGCGCCCCGGACCCCTTGCTTGCACTCTCTCCTCCTCAGCGGTGCCGGGAGCTGACCTCTGAGCCCCTTCCCGCGGTGCCCGAGCTGGATTCCAGCTCACGCAGGTGCCGTGCAGTGTTTCTCTGGGAAACCGAGCGCTGCACGGAGCTGGGGGAGCAGCGCGTGGGGGCGGAGCCCAGGAGTGGCGTTGTAATGACAGCCATGCGGGCTCTGGGAAGAGGAAGGCGGCAGGGATGAGATGGGGGCCCTCCAGCAAAGAAGCCACAAGCCCGGGGAGAGACCCGCTGTCAGTCACCGGGCAGAGGGCGGGCCGCTTGTTCCTGGAGGGACTGCCTCCCTAAGACCCGCTGTAAAAAGAACAGAAGTCAGTGCCCAGAATGCACTCCATGCTGGGCATGTGCTGACTTAGCTGGGAACAGCCCGCCGAGCAGGACCTACACGGTCCCTGTCCCATCGGAGCTGGCCGTCTGGTACTAGTAACCCTCCCAGGACTGCGTGATGCCCGGAAGGGCTTCTTCCTATTGCGTTAATCCAGGCAGAGAGTTGTTTCATTCATTCACTCATTCATTCATAGGGTCACGAAGCTATTCAGTTCCTCCTCCGTTCATGTTGCCAGCATTTTACTTCACCAGGGCTGCTGTTTTGGGAATTCGATAGTGAACAAATGACGGTCCTTGCCTTCAGGAGAAGGAGCTAGTGGGGGGCCTACGGGCTGTATCCAGGCACACTGCAAGACTATCTGCTGGATCTGGACTTGCAAACAGCTGCTCCCACGTTCGAGATAAGAGCCTGAGGGCTGGTTATTACATGCGCGTCTGAGAGGAACATGTTAGGGGAGGCTCCCCATTTACGTCATAGAAAGAGTTCAGTTTGGACCTGGCTTCACCGCACACCAGTTATATGGCCTTGGGAATGGTGCCGGTCTTCTCTGATATGTATAGTTTTCCTACCTCAGCGGGTAACAAGGAGGAACAGGCGCGATAAGCTACATAAAGCAAGTACCCCAGAGGGGGCCACATGAAATGCACAGTCAGCCTCATTTTTATGATTAAGTTACTAGAAAGGAAAAGGTCTCCCTGCCAAGGTACTTAACCGATCCTTGCGGGGAAGGCCACACCCCGGCTCCAGGGTGGGGCTCAGGTGCCACTGGCAGCTCACTGATAAAGGACACAGGAGATTAAATGGCAAAGAGCCAAGAAAACTGGAGCTTGGAGGTGAGGATGGAGAAGGCAAGGATTCAGTCTCGGCCAGTCCATGTTTCCGTTAAGAAAACTACGGGATTAGACCGTTTAAATCGCAGCCCTCCTGCCTCCGCTGCGTCCAGCGCACTTGAAGCTTTGATGCTGCCACTTTACTGAGGTCATTTTGTGACGGGTTATTTTCAGCTTTTTGATGACCAAATGGTGGGTAAAACAGAGCCCCACTCCCTTCCATTTGAAATGAGGTCAGAGAAGGGGGCGGTTAGGGGTCGGCGAGGGCCAAGGCTCATGGGGAGCTCAGGGGTGTGCACTGTATACTCAGGAAGAAAACGGCGCACGTTAACTTTGGATGCAACAATATGAAAAATCTCCAGAGCTAAAAATGACCCTACCAAATAACGCGTGTCAAATGTTCTGCTGTTGCCTATTTTGGCTCTGAAATGTAAAGAGCCGGAAAGTCAACACTTCCATCTTTACAAGTAAAGGAAAAAAGCTAAACCCACTGATAATCCATGGCTTCTCCTGGGTCTGTTCGGGAACTGAGGTCGTGGGGCAAACCGCCGCACTGAAGCCTTCGGAGGTAGGTGAGTACAGAAGTCACACTGAGGTCCGCGCACTGGAGGCAGAGGTCACTGGGGCCATAAACTGGTAGGGACACTTGAACAGCAATTTTGACAAATTGCCGGAGGCTGAGTTTATCTAGTGTGAGAAGGAGAAGCTCCAGGCGCTCTAGTCTTGTGTGTGTGTCAGAGGTGGGGGGCCGGGGGCGTTGGAGAGGCTCCCATGGGTTTTCCACTCAGGAACTCCTCCGGGTTTTCACGGATCCAGTAGGCAAACCATGGGCTAAAGCCAAAAGAGCGGCCAGGCTATCTAAGGGAGTGTTCCTAGGGAAGCCGAAAGACTACAACGGAGACAAAAACAAGGACGTGAGTGGAAATTGAAGCTTCTGGCACCTACGGCTGCAGCAAACATCAAACAGCCCAACCCCTAGCTGGGCGAACATAAGGTCTCACACTCAGGCCTATTGCTCCCTGGTACATCACGTCCAGCTTTCACATCAGGGATAGCAAGGCATGCGAAATAGCAAAACAAAACAAAACAAAACAAAAAACAGTCCAAAGGGACAAGACTCAGAACCAGACTCAGATACGACATCGATTCTGGAACTACCAGACGGGGAATTTAACGCTGACTGATGTGTTAAGGACAGTAATGGAAAGAGACGGCAGAACGCACGAAAGCAACACGGGTAGCATGCGTGGAGGGAGGGGAACTCCAAGGCTGAAAAGGAGATTCTAGAAGAGAGAAGCACTAGAACATAAATGGGAGATGCCTCTGTGGGGTCATCCACAGG